GCAGTTATTTTAATTGTTTTTTCCTTCATAAATGCATTCAAATGGCAAATGATAATCAGCTGTAGCTAGTCCTTGTTTTCATCACACCCTGATTAATTGGTCCAATCAAACTTGCTATGTTTGGAGAAAAACAGCTCTTTTATGTGAGGATCAAAATCCATTATAATTGCTGGAGGGGTAGACTCTGGATCTTTCGCCGCTTTGATTCCTGGAAAAATGTTTTCTGACGAGCTATAAGCGTTCTTCTACGTATTTTTTAGACCATTCGCGTTTCATCAAAATTGGTAATGGTCATGGAGCAGTACTGTAAATTCTTTATCACCTTCCTCAGTGATTTGGGAAAAAAGAGCTGCTTTTGTGTCTGCAATCGCCGCTTCCCCAGTCCCTGCAATGCTGTCCCAATCACAACGCTGTTACACTAATCCAGCTATTGCTTGAGTTTCATCCTTCTCGGTATGTTCAGATTCCTCCTTCAGCCTTTGAGAAATCAATTTGCTTCGTTGCACATAGTGTTTTGATCCGCAGGGCAGCTCTTCGCTATAACTTGGCTATCACATCAAATTTTTAGTAAAGTCTCCGTTTCAGGAACAAATCCATACCGTTTTCGAATAACTGTTCAACTGAATGATTGGGCATTTTTCGCGTGTGCAACAATTCGCCCTTAGTCCTTGATTATAGTCCTCATAGAGGTTGGGGCAAGGTCTATTTATTTTCATAACCACATCGGAAGCTTTTATTCGGCCTTCGAAAAGCTTGTCAATTTTCTGTTTGGTTTCTGAAGTCAGCGTTCATTTCTTAGCTGTAGACGAAAACGTCAGTCAGGTTTTTTTGATGACGTATTGGATTTATTTGGCAGCCGTAAGAAATTTACAGTGGCGTGACGTTATGACGTAAACGCGTTCAACACTCTTCGTGAACACTGTGCGCACACACTGGCTGACAGTTGTATACTCATGCATATTCGTGCGTACTCATACATCGCGTAAATAAATGCACCATTTTAAATATAATTTTTTATAATTTATTATTTAACGACGTAATTTGGAGAATTACTGTATTGATAATACCCTTAGCAAAAACTGAAAAG